CCATCCATCCCAATATCATCCATCTATGCTATGCTCATCCATCCATCTAACCATCATCCATCCATCCATCTATGCTACCCTGGGTGGTGAGGCTGTAAGCTGCACGAGGACTACAAAAACATTTTCTAAATAATCCATTAGCTATTATCCAATTTTTTTTCTATTGCCTATTTGCATATCAAGTCAACAGGAAGAGGACAATCCTCTATGTTGTGTGCAATGTAAAAAAAAAAACAAAAAACAAAAACATAGTCAAACACCAAGAAATGAAAATCTACATTGGATTAGAAATGTGATGCAAAGGTAATATAGACAATATTCTATTTTTAATCATCTGTATCTTATTATCTCTAGATGTCAAACCAAAGTATCTAGATTGTGTAAATATTAACCGACTTATTCCTCACTAATCAAAGATGATTCAAACAGCATGTAAGATTTATGTCAACCCTTTCTTCTGTTGTTTAAACACAAAAAGTTGCATTTCACTGTTTCTGGAATCACACCTCAGCTTCAGAAGCACCTAATGTAGATTAGCTACTATCTGGATGGTGTTGGAATGGGCTCACCGGGGGCGCCATTTGTTCAAGAACTGCCGATGCCTGCAGTTATATTATCTCACATCTCCTCCTCCAGCTTTAATTCTTTAAAGAAAAAGTGAGGGAAGACCTCTAAGTGGTTGGTCACTCTTCTGTTTCCTGCTTTAAAAAAAAAAAAAAAACATTCAGTCTTTTTCCACTTTTCTACAATCTTTATATCAACCATACTCTTTTCTAACGAATTATTAGCAAAACATTTTTTTCTTAGCCCATTTAAACTGATTGGATTGTGATTCAACATATCATTAGCCATGCTCAATTTTTATTTCATTTTAATTATATTGCACCAATTCACAATGTCATCTCGAGGCACTTTACAGAGACGCTTCAATCAGATCATACAGTCATTATTAACATGTTTTCATTTCTCTGGAGTTTCATTTAAAATTGTTTCCAGAGATTTATTTAGAGATGATAAACACTTCTGTTAACTATTCCAGTTGGTATAATTGCCTTTCCATTTGTCTTAGAAAATAATCAGGCTGTCTGTTTTAAATTGAAATATGTAAGTCAAACAATACTGTTACCTCTTTGATGGTGTTCTTCTTCCTTTTTGTTGGCATTTTGATTTAACTTAAGACCTTTGGGATTATTTGCAAATGGGCATTGGAACCGAATTATTGTGCCACAGATTTCAGCTTTTAGGTTTCCAGTATGATGAAGGATTTCAGATTAAGACTCTAATCCTTCTAGTTTGCATGTATTTTATGCACGTCCGTGTATTCTTTTTTGTTTTATAGTGCGTTGTTTGTGTAATGTTCGCTCTAAGCTAACACCATGAACTATAAAGCCTATAAAGGCATGTAATGAATGTCATGGGGCTTCCAGTCTGATCAGACTGGTTCGGTTATGAGCACCAGTAGCCGATGGAAAGGTCAACCACCTCAGACTTGCAGCAGAGCAGTCATCTCTCTGACCCCCTCAATGAATCCCAAACCCATCCAGTCCTCTCGCTGTCTAATCTTGCTCTCAGATTAAATCAGATGATGAAGAGCAAAGAATGAAAAAAAAAAAACCCAGAAAGTTTTATATTTTGGGGAGACTTTTAAATAATTAGTTCAGTTTTCTATTTAAGCTACACTAACGCCAACACAACTTACCTGGATGAATATTATAAATATGTTCAGTATAGCTATTAAAATATTATAATTATTTTAGTTTTTCAGTTTAATCCTACTGTATCCACTTTTAAATGAGATAATAACAAATTACACTTCAAGGCTATCGACCGATGCAGTCCACCTGCTGTGTGGAGTGTTTTAGAGAGATGATTTTATTCCTTTTCAGATGGCCATTACTGTCTAAAACTATTGCTGCTGCTGCAACACACTACAACTGTGCAGCCATAATATACTATTAGAAAAGATGTGGGTCTCCTTGGCAACCTGTCCTCAGCTTCTCATGGTCCCATCTATAACCAGACGGAGGAATGGATTTTCCTCCATCTCCTAGCAACACCCCTTCTCTCCCCCACCTCTGAACTGGCTGTGATATTCCAGTGAGTCACCCAGGTACACCCCTGCATACGCAGGGCTGTCAATCATCCCTAATCTACCAGCGGGTGATGCTTCTTGCTTCAAGATAGGGTGAGGGAGAAATGAAAAGAAAGAGTGTGAGGAGGTGGACAGTATCCATAGAGCAAAGGAAGGTGGGCTGGTTAGGTAATAGAAAGTAAAAAACACAAGAGAGGAAATTACAAAAGTCAAGCCTCATAGTACCCTGTGATTTATATGTTTTCCCTCTGTTGTAAATAAAAAAAAAAAAATTTAAAAAAAAAACAACAAGCCCAACTTGCTTTCCGTTCTGGACGCGTTCAGAAAAATAAAAAAACCTCTTCCTGTATCCGTAGTTTCTCCTCTCCCAGAAAGAAAAATATATATGTTACATCACACAATATTTATCGAACCAAAAGGACGTTAACTAATCCAGGGGAGGTGGAAAACTGAATGAATAGTTTATAACTAGCAGATATTACTGTGCACATAAAGAGGAAATCAATAAACAATTCAAGGGTTCTTGCAGCCATTTAAAGCCAGAGGCCTTTAATATAGCTATTAACTATTTATTCAAAGCTTTTGCATGCTGAATTAGAAGACTAATGAGAATTCAACAGAGGGTGTGATTTTCAGCTGATCCTTCACTGCATATATCACCAGAACATCTGTGGCTTGAATTTTCGATCATAATGTTTCCCTCCTTTATTAATCTGGAGAGGAGTTGTTCCCCTGTCAGGCCATATGATCTGTTTTTTCCCTTGTTTCATAATCCCTCTGTGAAGATTTAATAATCCAACTCCCTGTAACACAAAGGACATATCCTGAGGATAACATGATGATTTACTGAGGTATAAACATTAGGAAAACAAACAGTACCTTGTTTACATGTTAAATAGGTCCAGCAAACATTTTTAAACCACACATAAATTATTTCTATAAAGCTTTTTTTTATTACAATTGAGATTGCTTATTAAAGCTCTGAATATGAGAGTGAGGGGGAAAAAAAGCTCAAGGTTATGTTTATGACCCTCATGTTCCAGAACCTGCAATCAACTGATAAGAACAAGGCTGTTTCTCATGATAATATCGCTCTGAGTCACACAGGAGCAGAGCGGGACACTGAAACGGACGTCAACAGGCGTCCATTCATTGTCTCTAAGGAGAAATGACTGACCGCACAACGCTGATGATATCTAAAATTAAATATTGTTTCCTTTCATCCACCTGCAGAGAACCTGGACGCCATGATAGCCATGCAGACAAAGAACAAGTTGGGAAAGTCACTCATGGTTCCTGACATTTCCAGCTTTACTGGTAAACTTTATAGCTGAATGTATTAAAATTCAGAAAAATTATATTGGAAAGTTTTACTCTAATCTCTCGGCTTTATGGTTAAAAAAAACAACTGGTAGCTCCGCCTCAGATCTGTGCTTATCTTCTAGCAAAAGAAAAGTTAATGGTCCAAGATTAAACATACTGTCAAAGCAATATTTTTTTGTTTTCAGATTGTTTAAAAAATGTATATAGTATAATTTTATAGAGGCTTAAATAAGGCAGGATAATGACCTCAGTTTATTTTATCACACAATAAGGAGAGGGGTGTTAAAAAGAAAGGAAATCTATTGCACTGTGTGAGATCCAAGAAAATCACAGCTAGCTCCTTACTCATAGGGAAAATGATTCAGTTCTAGATGTTTTTGCAGTTCTAGATATCCAGTAGCTGAACAAAAACAATAAATTTTGTGTTTTTATTCTTTGTTTAAGGGAAAAACTTGGATGAAGATGACAACACCAAATCTGAGACAGCCAAGATGCAGAGGGAGTACGACAACTTGAAGGACTCGACCAAAGAGGAGCAGCCGTCCACTGAAACCAGTCAGTCCACAAAGAAATCCAGACGACCACAAGACTGATGACTAGCATAGAGTCCTTTTGCTATTTTTTTCTTATCTCATTAATACACATTTCTGGCCTTTTTGATTTGCATTTTTTTTTATTGTTTTTGTTTTCTTGTCACATCCTGATTTGGTTTTCTTTTGTACTCCATCTCTTAAATAAACACACAATTTACAAAACATACAACTAATTCTCACCACTTCACTTCAGTTAAGTAGATTATTTTATTCAGTCCCCACAACAATGGCTTGATTGCAGTGGAAACCAGATGAGCCTTTTTGTTTTCCCCACAGCAGAACTGTTAGGAAATAAACATCACTCCTGCAGCTCAGCCAATCATAATTAAACCCCTGCTTGTCTCAGAAGTAGGCCAGTCCAATAACAGACTCCGGAAATGCCTGTCACTGCGTGTCCTGGTTGACTGCATGTACTCAATATAATCCACTTTAAAACCTAATAAGAAAAGGATAAACAAAAAGCAAAATACAGCAGACTGATTATGTCTGATTCCTCAATTAATGAGGAGAAATCTGATTGGCTGGTTTCATAAGCTGTACTAAGACGACCTCTTTAGTTTTTACAGCAGAAAAATGAGACCATCTATAGTGATGCATATTTATTCTGTTTAAACTAGGAAAATAGAGCTGTATATATTAGATTAAAACATAAAGGCCCTTTCAATTATGTAATCATTGCTGGTGTTTTATAGAAAATGTTATCACATGTTATTAAGTATTTATAAATCTACTATTTGGCTGTGTTACTAGCTGATAAAATCAAGGTCCTTGAAAAATACATGGTGTTTTATTAAATCTTATTGTTTTTTTTAATGAATCATTGAGCCCTATTGATGAGAGTATTTAATTTCTTCTTCTCTGTTTTCTGTCTCTCTAAACTTCAGATCAGCCAGGCAAATCAGAAACCTATCTGGAAGCTATCAGGAAGAATATTGAGTGGCTGAAGAAGCACAACAAAGAAGAAGGCAAAAATGGTGAGATGTTTTCCATTACAGGAAAGTCAACCATGATCTCAATCCTTAATGTTGTGCTTTGAAATGCTTACAGGTTACCCAAAAGTTCTTTTAAAAAAATCACAGAAAAACTAAAAAATTTCCTTATTTGGAAATTTCATTAGCTGCCACGTCTGAGAGGAATAAAAGTGGCCCACCCTTGTTATTCCCTATTTGCATTATAAAGGAGCGTGGCATATCAAAATAGATGCTTTAATCCAGACCTCATTTATATGGATCATCTCTAATGATGCTGTCCTAATTGAAACAGCTGCTTGCTCATCTACAAAGGTCGCCTTTTACCCGGTTGTTTTCATTTGTGGTGGTTGTGTGCTGGTTGGTGATAAAAACCTGAATTTCCTTCACTGAGTGCTTATTCAATACAAGTTAGGGTGCATACTGCAGGCTTGAAAAAAACTTCTGTAGCTTCACTGACGAGTACTGATACAGTTGGATGTTGCTAAAATCATTGCCCAGGGATGCTTGAGAAGGGAATGAATTTCTAATGGGTTCTCACCATCCAGATCTATGTGTGGTAGATGATCTCAGCTGGATATCCCAGACAAAAAAAAAAAACAAGAGTTCAAGCTGAGTGAGATTTATCTGTAAAGTTTATTTTATTCATGTTGATCTGATCTGAGCTCAGGATGAAGGTTAAAACAGAGGGATTATGGAGAAAAACACATTTTGATGTTGTCTTGCCTCCTAAAAACAGAAGATTAGGGAATAAAACAACAAGAAAACTAAAGAATGTGATGCAGAGCAGGATAGGGGAGTTAGGGGACAGAGCAGCAGGGATGTTTTGTTAGGGGCTCATCTCTAACCTTGTCCCAGATAGGACACTTCATTAGCATTCAGGGGTAGCAACGGTTGTCCCGGACAACTGGGGGATCCCCTCCTTCCTGCCAGTGAACAGAGGCACAAAGATAATGGTGTAAGGAGAGGCTGACAGACAAAATGTGTTCAATCACCCCAATTTTCCCATGATCAGGCTCCATTTAGAACCAAAATAAAAAAGCATCAGGGTGTCTGTTTGAAGCTCATTTTGAACCAAGTTACAATCCTTTTGAAGCCGTCATCCTTGTTCTTTTTTTAGGAGAGAACTAAAGCCTTTCCGACTGAAGACAGTGCCATAGAAACAGAGTGGGATACTAGCCATTTATTGTGTTTACTCTACCAACAGCATCCATTAGGACAATCTCAGCAGCCTATTTGTGTGTGTGTGTGCGTGTGTTAATGAGTTCATGTAAGTGCATGTGCGTGTGCCTACGCCCACACTCTACAAAGATTAGCCAGAGAAGCAGATGGACACACGCAGGCAACATCCTGGCTTTTGCCTCTTGGCTTTTTACGGTTCTGGCACTGAGGAGAGACGTGGTCTCTAATCACGTTCTGTTAATCTTTTGCACGACTGTCACCAGCAAAGTGACTTCAAACCCTGAGGCGGTGGGACGACCCACCCCTCTGCAAATGTTGTGAGGTCAAAGCGGGGAGATCTTTTTACCGTCCTCTACCCGTCTGCTGCCACTTCAGTTGGAGACAGTTAGAGCTGGGAAAGGCCGTGCAGCAGCCTGCAACTCATTTGTAACCATTTTGTATTATGACAATTATGACTCTGCTCATTATTCATATGATCTTGTTATGTTTTTTTTTTTTTTGTCTGTGTAAGTATAGCAGGTCTTCTGAAACAAGATGAATACATATTAATTTTTAATTGTGTTTAATCCATTTGGAAAGGATGTACAGATGTGGAAAAACATGTTGGCTCACCTCAGAAACTTACCTGGGGGGGAGTTTGTTTTCATAGGGACACCAAACGAAGGAGTGAAAGAAAAAACACCTCAGTGGTTCATTGTTTGAAATCTCAGCTCTGAAAAGCTCAGATATAGCATATTAAAACTGGGATTATATCTCAGTAACTTAAGCTAAAAGTGCTACAATTTAACTTTTCCATCATTGTTAAAATATAACTATAACAAATAAAGAATAAAACTGGTGCAAAAGACCTATCACTTACCATTAGTGTGCCAGCATATATCATCAGTTATTTATCATCAATCTATTTGGTATTATTTCTTGACAAGGGCCCTAGTACCTATTGGCCTCTGTCCATTATACGTACATATATATACACAAATATCTTTTTTTGCCGAAGAATTCAGAAAAAATTAACTTTTATTTAAGTATTTGTTGATATATTGTTGTTTTTGTACATTTCTTTTTATGACAAGTTTGACCTTTCCTCTTGCACGATTTCTGTAGATAATTCTTTCAGTCAGGGTTCTTTAATCTTCAACTTATCCGTACAATAACTTTACTAAGCTATTAATGCCTGAGGACTGTGATAACAACAGGGGAAGGTTGGTTTTAGAAGAACCATTGATTTAATTTCATACTTTGAATCCCTGCCCTGTTAAAACAGCCAATAAGGACCCATTTTGGGGAAAAAAGAGCTGATGTTTTAGAATACATGATATTGCTCAGCCATGACATTTTGAAGTGGTCATGAGCCGCTTTTGTGCACAAGCATCCTTTGTTTTCCCTTCAAATCTCCCTGGAGTGTCATTGATCAAAAAGCTTAACCTTAAGCCGTGTTTTGTGTGCACCGACCTTTTCCTGGTTTATTCTACAATTACCTCCACTGTCTCAAATAACTGGCATTGGCTGATTTTGATAACAGTACAACTGTATTCCAATTTCAAAAATCTAACTTGGAGATCATGTTGCTGAATTAACTACTTATTACATGACTGCAAATCTAGGCATCAGACAAACGTCCTTTGACCCTAATCCTCTTTGAAGCTTGTTTGGGTGTAGCATCTCCGGGGTTCAGCTGACGATAACATCCTTAATGATCCTGCTTTGAACTGCAGATTATAAACCGCCCTGATTTGCTTTTTCTTGTCCCTCTAGATTATGACCTGTCCAAGCTGAAGGATTTCATGGACCAGCAAGTCGACTCCTACATCGAGAAAGGAATCATCGCCAAAGACGAGGGCGACACCATAAAGAGGATCTACAGCAGTCTGTGACAAAATCTCCCGTCCAAAACCGAGTCTGACACTTAGATTTCCTACAAAAACACAGACTCCACCCAAATGTTTAAAAGAGTACGATAAATTATATACAATATAATTAGGAATACATTTCCAGACATTCCAAAAACTGAACCAAAATATATTAAATTTGCCTCAACAAAATTTCAAGTATCTGTTGATCCAACAATTTATGTTTGCACCCTAAAACTGAAGAGGATAAGCTAAACTGCTTTCATGAGGTACCAGAATACTTTGTCACATTACACAATAAAGTCTGAATGTATATGTTAGACCATGTATTTGTTAGAACCACTCTTTACAACAATACATCTACAGCTGTCAAATTATACAATATGTAACCTGTCTTAGTCAGTCATAATTACCTTCTTTTCCATTGCATATGTAATATTTTGTGTATTCTTGCTTTTTATTGTACCATATCTATATTTGTGATGTCATGATGTCTGTGCGCCTTGTTGCTACCTTTTTCTGTTCTGCTGTAAGTCATCTGGAGCCCGCTAGGGGGCGGTGCCGAAGTCAGTAAATCCCTTTGCATGTCTCTGCTGTGTGTGTTTTACATTCCCCATCTAGAAGCGGATGATAAAAAGTATTTTTAAATGTAAATATTTGTGGGGGGTTTTCCTAAAGTTGTAAAAGCAAATAAAACATTGCCTTTTCTTTACATGTGGTCTGAAAATGGCTTGACTACATGATGCTTGATAAAAGAAATACTAGAAAATGTAGTCTTTGATTGAACCGACTCGAATGATTTAAACAATTACATCTTTTGATAACAAATTTTTGTACTATAAGTGATAGATAATGCATTTTTGGAAAGATTATACAGTCATATGAAAAAGTTTGGGCACCCCTATTAATCTTAAATATTTTCATTTCTAAATATTTGGGTGTTTGCAACAGCTATTTCAGTTTGATATATCTAATAACTGATGGACAGTCATATTTCAGTATTGAGGTTTATTGGACTAACAAAAAATGTGCAGTATGCATTAAAACAAAATTTGACAGATGCAAAAATATGGCCACCTAAGAAAAAAAGAGACATTTATAATTAGTAGATTCTTCTTTTGCAAAAACAACAGCCTCTAGCCACTTTCTGTAGCTTTTAATGAGTTCCTGGATCCTGGCTGAAGGGATTTTGACCACTCTTCTTTGCAAAACAATTCCAGTTTAGTTAAGTTAGATGGTTGCAGAGCATCTACAGCCTGCTTCAAATCATCACAGATGTTCAATGGGGATTGGGATGGCTATTCAAGAACATTGTAATTGTTCCTCTGCATGAATGCCTGAGTAAATTTGGAGCTGTGTTTTGGATCATTGTCTTGCTGAAATATCCATTCCCGGCTTAACTTCAACTTCGTAAGTGATTCTTGAACATTATTCTCAAGAATCTGCTGATATTGAATGGAATCCATGCAACCCTCAACTTTAACAAGATTCCAAGTGCCAGCATTGGCAACACAGCCCCAAAGCATGATGGAACCTCCACCAAATTTTACGGCGGGTAGCAAGTGTTTTTCTTGGAACGCTGTGTTCTTT